GTATATTCACTGGCAGATACAACACTTATATTTTAGAAATAATTTTGCATATGACCCCTCTTCTGATCGGTACAGGACGAATCATTATTTTAATCCTCGGATGTTATACTATCCTTTGTCTTTTTGCCTTGAGCACCTACGAGATTTTTTTTAAATAGATGGACTAAAAACTCTAATGACACGCTATCATGGCTCTTGACTTAATTATTTTAAAATTAATTCATTTATTTCCAAGAACAGACAACAGCGGCCTTTATGCTCTATTACTAATCCTCTCGCAAAGGCTTATAAACTGCACGGCAAATATATTTATGAGTAAAAATAGAGAGCAGTTCGTTGCCCCAGAGGTTACCTCTGACGTAGAGGTGGGACACAACAATGCAGTTACCATCTTAAGGGAAGAGGTTATGTTTGCAATGTCTAGCGGCTGGGAATTAAATCCTGTCTAGCAAGTTTATGAGGCTAAGACGAGGCGTTACCAATCATTCAGAGGATTAATACTTGAGAGATAAATTGGTACGCTTATTGGTTTTATCTCTATGGGCTTAATAAGATAGGGAGAGAGAGCTCAGGGCCCGTAGTGTACGGTCTCAGATTTGTTCTATACTAAAACGTGCCGTGCCGAATTTTAAGTGTTGAATTTAAGTCAATGATTAGTATGCATTATTCTTAAGAGTAAGTAAGAGTAAGAGCCGTGATAGCTCAGTGTCCGGGCGCTCGCCTTTAATTCAATATACTCGACCTGAGTTCGATCCCCGGTGCCGGCACCAATGAAGTTTTTAACTTTAAGTGCTGACTTATCACGTGCTCCGCGGTGAAGGAAAACATCGTGAGGAAACCTGCATATTTTCGAAATAATATTAAAAAAAAATATTTCGAAGATATGTGAAGTCCGCCAATCCGCAGTGGGGCCGCGTGGTGGACTATGCCCTGATACTCTGTATAGAGGAGGCCTTTGCCCAGCAGTGGGACATGTATAGGCTGTTACTTTACTTTACTTTACCCTTAAGAGGTTGAAAAATTATGTTTGGTGCAATAAACTTATTCCTCTCGACCAATTCGACCAATTCGACTTTGGACGTCCTGAAATGCTTAATCACCCAAAGTAAGTACTGGAGCACTCTTCTTCTATGTCGCAAAGGCATTCGACAAGGTGTAGCATAACGTGTTGCTTTACAAGTGCTACACTCAACGGGCTACATAGGTTCGTGCACACCTTTGAGGTTACCTATTGTATCGCTCTTTCGATACCTAGTTGAAGAAAGTTTATTTAAGCCGCCCTCATAAATTTAGTGTGGGTGCAAATATGATGTATGTTATCTATTACATTAAATGTACCTGAAACAATACGTAATTTCTATTTAACTGTAATTAATTACTGCTGTTATAATGAAAACGTAGTCTAATTGAACGTAAATTGACTTCAAAGAAGCTGAGAGCATTCTTTTGCCAATTTTTTGTTGGCATCCATCCTCCGTTACCCCGACCCGCGATGTCACGCGCTTTGGAGATGGTCACCGGCAAATGATAAATATTATTATGATAGACGATAAGAGAAGGCAAGCTCGTTTGTTGCAGCCGTCGGTAATCAGCTAATATGATTTTGCGTCTCCAATTTTCCACGCATACATTAATTTCAACATTTTTATGCGATATACAATCGAGCGTTAGCTAAAAAAACAAGCCAACTGCGAGTCGGTCTCGGGCACGAAGAGTACCGTTCCATTATCTATTAAAACGGCAAAAAGTCATATCTGTTTTATGGAAGCCCCACTTAAATATAATTCATTCTTTTTTTTTAGTTGTTATGGCGGCAACAAAAATACGTCATCTGTGAAAATTACAACTGTCCAACTATCACGGTTCATGAGATACAGCTTGGTGACAGATAGATAGACGGACAGATGGACACACAGACTGCGGAGTCTTAGTAATAGGGACCCGTTTTACCTATTGGGTAAAAGGTAAAACCCTAAAAACCAACCAACAAAGTTTTCGTTTTTTTTAAATACACGATACGGATTAGGTAATAGACAGGTTGTCTTGTATAATCTGGACAACGAACGAACGAATATTCAAAACAGAGTTTAAGTCAAAAAATTACTCACAACGGTTTTCTTCATCGTCGAGCACGTGATAAATTGGCATATAAAATTACAATGGACATAATTGGTGCCGGCACCGGGATTCGATCTCGGGTCACTCGACTACATTAGAATTAATACGAGCTATCGCGGTTTAAGAATTGTTTGGTCGTCTACTTTTTGTTCATATTATATTATTTTATATGTTTGAGTGTTCTTCTAAAACGCGATAAATACTACTCTACCTTACTAATATTCTCACCTTTTTTTCGTTTTTTGTGTACATCTGTACTTACGTAAGAAGTTCTTTAAGCGTAACAAAATAAAAATAAAAATAAAATTAAGAACTTGAAGCCCGGCGGTATGAGGATCTTCGATAAACATCCTCCATTTATTTATGTGTCGAAATTCAACAACAAATCGCCGACTACACGGTTTTAATTTCATGACAGAAGTATACGAAAAAAAAAAGTAGATGCAGCGGGTTGACGTAAATGTAAAAATTATATCAACATACTCTTTTGAAAACCCGTTAGAAACTATGCAATATAATATGTTTTTATAACACACAAAAGAAGTCGGTAATCACCTTTTATTTGTAATAAACGCAGCTATAAATTCCAAGGACACGCGCACTATCATAATATTAGTATAACAGGCTAAAAAAATGACTTCATTGCAAGAACCGGTCTCACAACGCACCAACACACAGGTTTTGGAAATTTGTCATACACACAAAACTAATTGAATATAATATCATACAAACAACGTTTAGAAATCGCAAAAAAGTGCCTTGTGTATTTTACAGTTGTAGTAAGTAAGAATGGTCAGTATCAGGTTATTCTTTTCCGATTATAATTACGATTTAAAAATAAAAGACACAAATTTAAAGATTGTTTATTACAATTACAATATACATATATATAAAATATTTATCACAGGGTAATTAATCCCTGTAATAAATATTTTAAAAAACATAGTATTATTATAAAAGTTAGTGCTGATAGAATCGTTATCCCAATCGGAATTAATTTGATTTTTTATTTGAGAAGGTGGCAACTGAGCTGGCGGTTCATCTGATTAGTGTTGCAGATGTCTGGTTCCTTTTATTAAAATGGGCCCTGGTTACCTCGACACTCTCCTGACGAAACACAGATGTATGACACTTCCACTTAACGACGGTTTTCTGTGAGGTCTTGGTACGGTCATAATCAGGACGGACCTGCCCATTCGTGCAACAGCGAAGAATGTTGCGTGGCACTACCATAGTCAAAATTAAGCTTGATTAAAAATATGAAAGTATTTTAATTGAATGCAATTTATGGAACCTACAGATCAGAATATGTGTAAGACGTTCTATGGACATTATCGTTATAATATGTCTAGTCAAACACGTAAAGGACTTTGGTGAACTTTTTTCAAATGCTTCCCACGTCCACATGTACACGTGCACCTACATAAAGGACAATAAAGGACTTGAGCGATCCTTTCGCCATGATTAGCTATACGTTATAAAAATTTTCAATTGTCTTATTGACAGAAGAAGATTAATAAATAAGCAAAGTTATCAATATGCACATTTAAAAGGTAATGTTTAAAGTATATAAGCGTGTACATTCCTTGTCATCTTAAGTAGTGGTAAATAAAACAAAAAAGTTAAGCTAAATAAATATTTATATTATGCTAGGCCTCTTACAAATAATATTTTTTGTAATTATCTTTTGCATTATTCATAATAAATATTATTATAAATTTGTTACATATCTTAAATGAGTCAATATCATGGTCTTTATCCCACCTAGGTGTGGTCGGTATAACATGTGAATCATGTCGTAAGTGGTTTTGGCAACGTGTTCGGTGATTACACACAAACACTTGTCCCGTGTGGGAATCGAACCCGGCGCTGAAGCCGAAAGCTAAGCAAGTGCGCCACCGAGTAAACATGAAAATAAATTAGTCAACATAATATTATGAAATTAAAATTTTTGGTTTAACCATTATTTTTTCAAGAATACAAGCTGACCAGACTACTAAGTATTTAATAATAGTCGTTTAGTAGGATTGTTAATATAAATCGGTCAAGATACAGAAAAAAGTTTAAAGTTAAACGAAACAAATATGCTTAGGCTTTATAAACTTAATAAACTACTGAAATTGGCACTTTGGCGAAGATGCCTAAGGAACATCATTTTCAAATAACATTCGTGGTAATATTTCTATGTTTAACTAATATTAATTTTGTTTTAACAAAAATTTTTGCATATTAACTAAAAAAACGCTATGTTAGTAACACTAAAGTGATTGTTATAAATAAAAATACATAATATAATTATTTAAATGGTTTCCACGGATTTGCTATTATAATTAAATTAATCACGGAGAAAGGTCAAATATAACTAGTTAACTAACTATAGCTCCTATTCCGCGAATTTGACGTAGAAATTGCTCGTGATGAGGACAAAAATATAATGCATTTTTTCTTTAGCTTCACGTGTTATCAATTAACAAGCTTGACGCTGCAGAACATAATTTAAATGCAACATTATATTTTTACTGCCGTCCAATCAGTATTTTATATAATTATATTAGTATATATTATATGATTGATCCGCTCAGAAGTCCACAGTTTATCTTTAGATTTCTTTTAACTATCCGTAATGATCAAAAGGAATAAATATTTCTAACACAACATTTTTGTCCTATAATAACAATATAAAACAACATATTTTTGCGCTCTATAGGTAGCTTTTAAAACTTAAGCCAGCGCTTTGAAGTTCCTTTACGTTTTTAAGTAAAAAAAAAAATCACGAAAAGATGCCAAATTCAACTAAATTATTTATTTATTAACTAAAGACAATCGCGTTCCATAAATCTCAGATCTAACACAGATAATGATAGTTGTGGTCAAATCATTCAACTCGTTTTCTTGCGATACACTATGTACTCTATAGTCCACAAAACCACGCAAACCAGACAGCATACGCTCATCGCAAAGAAGCAATACAAGTAGGTGCCCGTTGCGTCGTAGATTAGGCCTGTAAGAAATACATCACTATGAATTGCTATTCTTTTCATTAAATCCTAAATCTAATATATAAAATTCTCGTGTCACGGTGTTTATAATTGAACTCCTCCGAAACGGCTCGACCGATTTTCGTGAAATTTTGTGTGCATATCGGCCAGGGTGGAGAATCGGACAACATCTATTTTTCATCCCCTAAATGTTAAGGGTAGTCCACTACAAACATTTTTTTCTACCTTACAAATAATTTATATGGCAAAACAACGTTTGCCGGGTCAGCTAGTATCTTTATATCTAAGACGCTTGCGCGCTCTTATGAAACGAAATACCATAAGCTCCTAAGTAAGTTACCAATGGTTCGGAAAGCGGTTTTTTTTAGAAGAAACAGTAAACAGTAATAAACAGTTGACATATTTTCTTTTTGTAGACAAGATAATTGTGTACTTTGTTCTTAATTCTAATGTTTAATTTATGTCTATCACTATTCTTTCGGTAATCATTTAGGTTATGTCGAATATATAAAATATTACAATAATTATTTGAGATGCTACAATGAGTATGTTAATCTCTTTAAGAAGATCTTTTTTGAAGAATAAATTGATAATTTATATCCGACTACTATATCACTACCCCATAACAAAATGCCGTACGAATAGATGCTGTGAAAATAACTGGTGTAATAAGTCCGGCGGTGTCTGATAACTGCCAAACCTTCCTAATCGCCCCTGTCTATTCGCAAGAGATGATTAGATTTAGAGAGAAGATTTTTACGTATTTATCTAGAGACCCACCTATTAACGGATCGGCTATAAGCATAAGGAATCCTGAGAATATGATGTGTAGTGCCAAGGCGGCTGGGAACCTGTCTGGGGCTGCTGTGACCAGCACAAGGGGGAAAAGCACCTGCACAGAGCACCGCACCAGGCCCGATATGACCGTGATGGTGAATACGAACCATATTTCACTCGAGCATACAAGCGCTGGAAAAATTTACATAATTTAACATACAGCAAACTCATTTGCCAAATCCTGGATAAAAAAAACAGTTCTTTAGGCGGATAGAAAGAAGCTACTCGTAACATATTACTAGCACCAAATATTGATGTAAGAATGTTTCAAACAACTAGCCTTTGGTTACTTCAAAATATCGAAATTTTAGTATCTTTCGCATCAAGATTTGTTATGCGGTCAAAGTCAGTACTTTGGTAGGAAGACCAGTGCCTCATCAGAAGTTTGGTAAAGTATAAGTATTTATTCTTTGTCATTTCGTTAATTAAATTGGGACACCGGGGCTGACCTTTTTGGAGGCGTTGCCAATGCATTTGCAACCGTCCATGGACATAATCGTACGGGTATTGATTATGTCCATGGACGGCGGTAATCACTCAATATCTGGTGCCCCGCCTTCTCATAACCCTGAGGCAGAGAGATGTGTAATTTATTTTGTTTTTTTTTTATGGTGTGAAAGAAATTGACTCGTGCAAAAATATATTAATTAAAGTAATTCGAGGTCACACATACTACACTTTTAAATAATTATACCATTAGTTTGATAAAGACAACTTTTGAGAAGTTATTAAAAAGCTTAACGAATGTTTCTTTATTCATTAAAACACTTAACATTCAATTTTAGATAAGATATAGCTTTGAGGCAGCAGGTTGAAATCAATAACGAAATAGAAATAAAACGTGGAGGAGAAATATCATTAATTAGTCTCGTCGCTCTAAGGTTTTCAATTTACCTGATTTTTAATATGGCCCCTATGTTATAGTATTGACAAATGCCTACACATAAATTCTCTTTGCCTCTTAATACATTAATAAATTTCCTGTTAACTTCATGCTCTCAAACTGCCCCTTTATTTATTAAATAACAACTTAATCTTAGCTAGTTATTAGACTTTTTTTATTACATTTTTAATAAATATTACAGAAAAAATAAATTGAAAACTTACCGATGCGCAGTATTACTGTCAGGCAGGTCCCCGAAAAGAAAATTTTTCTACTGTCGACGGTGTAGAAATATGTAAACACGGCCAAGGAAAATCTTGCGACCAGGTCGGCTATTGCACCCACCATGACGCACGTTGCCACTTGCATCTGGTCAGAAATGAAATATAACTATGCCGTATGTCATACCCAAAGGCCGCTTTACACGCCTAATGCGTGTAAGACTTAAATACAATAATAGTATAATTTAAATTAAATTAAAAAAAATAATATTAATATTGATTTGAATTTTACTTGACGTAATTGAAGAAACCAACGATATTTTCCATAATATCCACTAACAATAGCGTATTGAAGTTTATTCAGTAAGCAAATTTGTTTTAAGTGAGGTGACGAAGAAGGGATGTAATGGTATGGAATGGAAATATGGAAGAGATGCAACACAACTTGCTCCATATTTCTTGATTCCTTGGATTGAAATTTATTTCAGTTGAAATAGAGTTATTTAACTAATCATGGAGTTTATTTAGATAAGACGGTCACGATACGCCTTGTTTTATTTTAATGAGTTAGATAAAATAATTTACTATTAAACTAAAACAAAATTTTGTTAATTATTTAATTTTATTAAAAAATAGGAGTTATTGCCAGCAAAAACTTAAATATTTACTATCATATTTTATGAACGAAAGATGCATAGCACTACACGTTTTCACTATCAAAATACTTAAATATCGTGAAATCGAATTGTAAAGTATTATTTAAATGGAATAAGTATTTTATTAGTTTCTTTGAGTGCATTTTTCTAACGGCAAAAAATAACGTTTTAAAATATTAATTTATACAGAAAATTTTAATACCTGCGAATATCCGTAGGAGAATAATAACATAGGCTCCATAGCTAGGTAAGTAACGTCAGATACGAACGCAAAACCCAATCCAACCAAAGTGCTCAGAAATCTTGGATCCCTTAGCAAATCCAATTCAACGTTATCATAAATAATTTTTCTGAAACAAACCAAAAAGGTACAACCGATGTAATAGTAAAACAATTGTACACAATTTTAGATTGAAAACTTTAGAACGTGTTTAACTCTAATGACTACAACAAATATACCTACATAATACTTTTTTGGATGGATTCGTGTCTACTCGGTGTAGTCATTTCCTTAATTTCAACAGCAGCGTCATCACCTGGTAACATTTTGACCACAGTTTCATCACAGTCAACTTTAAATGATTTAGTTTCCAGGACGTCACAATTTAATGGGTCTGTAAGTCGACAGCGTGACATATGGTGTTAGAAAAGCTTTAAAAAACGATGTGATTACAAATGCTGTTGGCAAAGAGAACAAGGCGAATTAAATAATGTCAACAGATCTGTCTTGCAATGTATGACGTATATTAAATAACAGATAAATAAAATAAATTAACGACATGAAAATGACTATGTCCAAAATAAAAGGTACTTTAGAGGTGCATACAAAAGTAAGTTAAATTAACACACACATTTCAGCAAAACTATTACGACTGTCAAAACGTTATATCCTTTTGGCCCAGTAAGTTGCGCAATACTTAGTGTTTTTTTTAATATAAGTAGGCCCCGGTTACCTCACGCGCCAAACGAAACGCGAAAGTTATTTCACTCCACGCTGGTCTTCTGTGTGGCCGTGGTGCGTCCCTGGACGAGCCTGCCCATTCGTGCAACAGTCGAATCAAAATCAAAATCAAATCAAAATCAAATGTCTTTATTCAACATAGGAGCATTACACTCACTTATTGATAGTCAAAACACTACCACCGGTTCGGAAAAGAAAGCCACTGTACTGAGAAGAACCGGCGAAAGAAACTTAGCGGGCTTTTTTTTTTAAATAAGCAGTTTGACATAAATTCATTAAAAATACAATATAAGAACTCCGATTGAAAGAGCCTGGAGAGATCAGTTCATTACTAGAGTGTGTTATCATTTAAATAATCATTAATATTATAGTAGCCTTTAACACACAAACGTTCTTTTACTATTTTTTAAAATTTAGCTATTGATGCATTTTGAACGTTTTCTGGAATTTTGTTGTAGTAACGTATACATTGTCCCATAAAAGATTTACTTATTTTACGCAGTCTACTTGTGGGTAGGATCAATTTATTTTTGTTCCTAGTATTTATATATAATCTGTTGTGTGGCCCTACCACTCTCTCTCGACGAAGTTGAAGCGGGCAGATTACTACCGCACTAACACAAAAATCTGTAAGTTTTCTACAGCAAACTAACAGCGTATTCCAATACATTCTATAGCTAGACAAAGAGACTGTGGGGTAAAAGTATCATGAAATGACAATAGATGAACAAAACGCTCTATGGACCTGGACTTGAGACATCCTTTGATTTGATCATATGCCATTCGACCGGGTGCATCACTAGCATTGCGAACAACAGGTGCAGATCCACGGCCATAATGAGGGCGAGAGTCCAACGGAATCCATACTCGCCCAGCAGGAACGTAACGAGGATTGGAAATGTTATGGAAGCGATACTGCTCATGGTTTGGTTGGCGCTCATCATAGCTGTGCGTTTCTTCGTGAAGTAGCAGTTGAACGCTGTGAAGCTTACTGGTATCATGACACCGAAACCCGCACCTGGTAGAGGAAAGTGAACGTTAAAATCATAAATTTTTCATTCAAATCAGCCCTGTGAAAAGCGAAAAATATCTTACTGTATATAAAATGCAAGTGTGTAATATATGTAATTGTAGAACTCAAACACCGTTTGATTGATGACCATAAAACCGTTAAGTTATCATTACAAAAGGTTATATTGTAAAGAAGACATTTTTTTGCACTTTCCACAAGTTTTTGCTTGTCACCGGATGTCATTTTATCTTCTATACCATTCCCCTACAAGGCAACGTCTACCAGCTTCTACTATTACTACACAGAGTGTATGTCGACACGTTGACGTGTTGAGATACACGGTCGAAAGTTGAACGAATGTTCGCTTCACTTTGTCTATGGCTGTCGAACTGGATGGACGTCTAGGAATTGTTGTGGGTTCTATACTATTGTGTAGCTAGATTTATGTTTATTTATTTGAAATGAGGCTTCTCTAAAAGTATCCATTTTTTTATTACATTCGAGACATAAATAATCTTATATAAAAAATTATAAATATTTGATATCACTCTTAAGTAATTAATTACATTCATTTAAAGTTATTTTAAAAAGTGCGTCATTTATACGAAACTCGTTTATTTTACGCGCGATAATTCATAACTATCACGCACACAAGTTCGTGCACAGTAAAATTTAGGTATTTATGAATGACTACCGCATTGTCAACTCGTTCTTAGGGAATAGAATGGCATTTTTTTTTTTGGGAAAAAAAGCTTTGTTTCTTTTTCAATAAACGATTATACTACCGAGTCTGTACCTCCTGTGTGAATTTGGGCACCTTTAGAAAAGCCACTTTGAAAAATACTATCAGCCTCGCAGTAAAATTTGCTTAATTCTCTGGTAACTACATTATCCGCAATATGTCCACATAGAAAACGGGTTAAGAAAGTGACTATTTTTGGCATAGTAGCCCAAGTTCCGACGAATGAAGGGACTGATCCTTTGGACGTAGCACGGCGGACTGACTTAAAGTAAAAGTATATTTTACAGGCATTGTGCATGTCATAACTATCTTCCATCATAAAAAAATATAATTACCTCTTATAACACCGAACGTGAAGACCAGCTGATAAGTTCTTGTGACAAAAATAGTTAGGACATCGCCTAGAATGAATAAACCAGCGCCAAGCAAGCCAACTTGCCTGAAAGAATATTTTTTCAACGCTATCCCACTTAGAAAACCTAAAAGAAAAAATAATGATATGAACGTACAATAAATATACTAAAACAACTTTTAAATTTTTTTTAATATGAACTTTAAAAACGTTTAAATATTTTTTTAATATGACAGAATATCCGTTATATAAATTCTAAAAGATTGAAGAATACTAAACATTGAATTCGATTCGATTCGAAGAATACTAAACATCGATTCAGTTGGTTAAATCTCATGAAACCGGTGCATAGTCCCAATATTATGCAGAATTGTTAATTAATTTAAGACATTAAAATATCGTCAATTAAAATGTTAAAGTGAATTAATTAATAAATAAAAAAGCAAATAAGTATTAAAAGTAAAATATACGTAAACGATAAATTATTATAGAATTCTTGTTATGAATTAATATACAGAATAAAATATAAGTATAAGCCGTTGAGTGTTTCATTAAAAGAAATACGTGGCTCGAATGTTTCATCGCTGGCTGCCATGTGGAATTTTCGTGGTGCTCGGGTTTCAAGCGACGCTGAACGCGGCTAGAGTTACTGTCCTCAATTAATTATGAGTCTATTAGCTTAATACAAATCGGTTAATAGACAAATATCGTTGGATAACGGGACCGATTGGCGTTCAGGGCCTAAGCCTTAACAGTTTGCATCAACCATTCATTAGATGATATTGATTTGACCGATATTGTATTAACAACAATACGGAGCGCTCATTTCCGTAAATAGGATACGTTCTGTCAATCCATCTGTCATTTAATCTGTGTCTAGATGCGTTCTAATTGTGTGTTAGCCGATTTCAAAAAAGGAGGAGGTTTTATTTGCGACTGTATATATTTTTTTCTTTAAATCTTTTTTGCACTTCTCACTATTGTGTAATATTCAGTAGAGTTGTTTATTAAAGAGGAATCTGCAAAAACTTTTTGTTATTGTTTATGTGAGACTGTATTATCTATGGTTGAAAACTGGTAAAAGGTTTTTTTGATGATGTTTATAAATCATGATTTTGATAACTTGAAAAGAACCGCAAAACTCAAATTCAATTTACAATATAAAATTGAGGTAAGTAGGTCATGGTATTATGTCAAGAGGTCTCTTGCTTATAATATATATAGACTGACGCGTATGCGAAAGAGTTTTTATTTTTATTATTCGTTTTTATATTTCGTTTTGAGAGAGAGTCATTTAAACTTAAAAAATCAAGCGTTCAAGCCGTAGTAAACTAAACATATTTAGTTCATTGTCGTTTTTTTCTTTTAAAAGAAGTTGACATTTATATCCTTATTGTTTCCAATGGACGAGCAATTTTGAATATTTAAACACAGAAAGATTTGAAAAAAAAATTTTTTTTTCAAAATCTTATAGTTAACATTCAAATTATACTTGCTAACTCCAGAAACTACCACCTCCCGCATTTGACCGATGACCATGAAAAACGAAACGTGTATTTTTGTGTAAAAAGATTGTTATCCGTTATCCGCTTTGTTGTGATTTCCCAAAGATTGCGCTTGAGAATGTCAGTTTTTTTTTATTTAAAAACCGATTCTTTTATTTTAATAGGTTTTAACACGAAGAAATTTGCTCGTCATAATCATGATTTCAGTCTGTTTAGCCAAGCGAGCAGGCGCTTCACCTTATGTTAAGTGAATACCGCCGCTCTTGGAGATCTGCTACACTCGAGGCTTGCAGATGCGTTGACAACCTTTTGAAAATTGGGCTCCGACTATCTTACTCACCACACGAAACGTGAAAGTATTATAACTTCCACTTCAAGCCGGTCTTCTGTGAGATCGTGGTACTTATCTGGACGAGCCTACCCATTCATGCAACAGCCGAGGCTGCTGCCTTACCACAGTCAAAACTGAAGACAGACCTGGCCTACAGACTGCCATGAAGAATGATCTTGAGTCACATTTACTGCGGTACGACCACGCAACTGTGTTTGCTGTTGCACGAATGGGCAGATACGTCCGGGTTAGTACCACGAAATCACAAGAAGACCAGCGTGAAGTAGAAGTATTACACTTCTGCGTTTCGTCTGATTAAGGAGGTAGCCGGGGCTCACATTTGTTAAAAGGTGGCAATGCACCTGCAACGCTACGGCTGTTGAAAATGTCCATGGGCGGCGGTTATCATTTAACATCAGGTTAACCGCCAGCTCGTTTGCCACTGTCTCACTCTAATCCATCGCGCACACTTGTAACCTGGCTTCTTCATCTCGTGGGAGGGTGTCCTACACTACGATGGCCAATACGACGCTGCCACTCAAGAACCTTTCTTACCCATGGGTTATTGGTTCTTTAAGCTATATGACCGGCTCATTGACACAGCTCAGTAAAAACACTCCTCAACGATTTCGAGTACAGCGCTCCCAATAACAACCGGTATAAGCATGACATGAACAATAGACATGATCTTCTTCTTGTCCCTGTATATCTTAAAGAGTAGGCTGTTGGAAGAAGACACTGTTTAGATCAATGACCATAGTACGATGGTTTTGGTGAATATTTCGTAACATATCGAAGGTGGGTGATGTATTCGCCATTGATGTTAATACCATGTTCTTTTCAATCCAGAAAATTTGCTCATCCCATTTAAATGTATTTTAATGGTAACAAACATTTAATTATTAGATAATTGGACATAGTGAAAAAAAATGTAGTGTCAGTTATCTTTTGTATGTCTTAATGTTACGAAGCGTGATTACACAATGAATTCGCATACTACGCAAAGTCCCACAATTAGCGATTCTATCTAAAATACATTAAACAACTTTTAATCAGTTCACATAATAAAGTTATTAAATTTCATACAATGTAGATAATGTTTTATACCCTTTCTACAAGAGTTGTAATCACGATTTTGGGTTAATCATATTAACTCAAAATCGTATTGATCATTTTAACCCAAATTCGTCATTTATTGATGAAAACGTACTCTCTGTTATATGGCCGCAATTTTAGTATATTAATTTTATGATTTAGCTATTTCATTTTAATCTATAATTTAATTTCATTATAAATAAAATTGTATTTCGAAATATATTTTTGATTTTAAAGATATTTTATGTTTTATGCCATATATGTGGTAATTCAATTAACCATAGCAACAAGTTAGTAGTAGTGTAGTATTCCTTAACTCTGAAATTAAATGAATCTAACGCAAAATAAATATATTTCACTGGCATTTAAATTATTTATTTCTTGTTTTTACCCCAATATCTTTTCCTATGAAATTGCCGGTTTGTATGAAATAAGTTAAAGTATTTTTATTTTTGCAATCTTTTTATTCATAGTACTCAATCGCAACCCATGCATGCTTTGCCGACGCAGTGGTAATTTATTGATGCCCCTCTTGTAAAAATCAGCTGAACGGGAGGCAACAAACTCTTCAAAGGCATTTTGTACTGCCACTCAGGAATTGAAATTTTTTCCCGCTAAAAAGTTGTCCAAATTATGAAAAAAAGTAATAATCGGTAGTTGCAAGATCTGGTGAGTATGGCGGATGAGGGAGAGCTTCTAACCCCAATTCTTGCAGCTTGATGACTGTCTGATGTGCAGTATCTTGTCGCGCATAGTAGTGACGGAGCAGCGGGGACCACGTTTTGACCAAATCTGGATGCTGATATGCGAGTTTCTCCATAATTGTCTTCAGTTCTTCACAGTACAAATCTACAGTAATGCTCATTCCGTTTTGTAAAAAGCTGTGATGAATCACACCGGCATTAGATCACCAAGCAGTGACCATCGCCTTTCTACAGGCACATTTTTCGTTTAGGGTATTGCTTTGGTGCTGAACTGATCTAATCAACTTGCTGAGCGCTTTTGATTGTCGTACAGAATTCATTTTTCGTTGCACGTAACAATTCGGTTAATAATTCCATCATTGTCGACCAAAGTGTCCGGACCACCACGGGGTTTATTTTTCAAGTCAAAATTTTGAGAACGGAACCGGCAAACTAATAACGGGTTGTGCGTTCGTTTGTAAAGTTCTCTCAGTGAACCTTTTTGTTTGTGCCGTTTGTGCGCCACGACGTAACTCATATTCCACAATTAAACGAATTTTTAAAGTATCCATCATGACGAAAAATTTGAAATGTAATGAAAATACAAAGCTTATCAATAAACAAAGGACTTACTTTGTACAAAGTACTTCATGATTTTAAACAAAATTAAAGTAAATTCAGAATTCACAGCCGATCATATTTTTTTTGTTCGAAATATTGTTTCTAGGTAAAATAAATATTATATTAAATACATTCAATGAAAAATATACCTGCTATAGAGAGTGCTCCGTTGTATACTCCAATGACTAGAGGAAGCCCACTGGCGCCGTTTTGTTCGATGAAGAAGTTATTGAACAATATGCCGAAAGCGTTCGAGGAACCAAATCCAAGCATCTGCAAATAAAATAATTACATTATAAAATTCTGATTCCTTTGAGTAGCGTTGAAGTGATATTCATGAATTTCTACTGAGGACCGATGTGAAGTGGAAGTAATGTATTTTTGAGTTTCGTTTCGTCGTCGTTAGTAGAACTTATTTTAAGTTTGGCAAAGAACTTTCAATCCCTTACATATTGTAAGTCAGTGGGCAGCGGTAATCAGGATGCCGCCATTTTTTTAAAGATAATAAAATTTTTACTTTAAATGCGTACTTATTATTAATTTTTAAAAGAATCTGAACCATTTAGATCCGTAAAGTATCTTAATAATTCATTTTTAATTCGATTAATAGGTACTCTCTTTATTGCCATGTTATGACCAAAGATGTTTAGATAATAATTACAGATAATAATATTAGATATAGATAAAAAAAGTCACTTGAAATGTAAACGCCGCTTTGCTGTGCAACATAATATAAAACAAAGTCGTCCCGCTGTCTGTCTGTCCCTATGTACGCTTAGATCTTTAAAACTACGCAACGCATCTTGATTTTTATACTAGATAGTGTGATTCAAGAGGAAGGTTTATATGTATAATACATTGCACCCGTGCGAAGTCGGCGCGGGTCGGTGGTAAATAAATAAAACACTTGGATATCTAAGTGTGTATAGTATATCAGTTGAGTAATTGTTAACCGTGGAGTGGCATTTTGAGAAAATGGACAGCCCTCAAGGATGTTATGTCGATGTGATGTTATGGACATGTCTTCCACATAAGAAGAAGAAGTGTCTTGAGTTTAAATCACGATGCTGGAAACAAAGAAATGGTTGATTTAAAATTTTGAATAATGAGAAACATCTAACGGCAGGATTAATGTGAAAGAAACAAAAAAAAGGCTCATTCATATCGATCGCGTATCTTGCAATTCGCCTAGGATCACGTTATTCCTTTAATAGTTCGCAAAATTTTATCAAGTACCTACTATTATTTACTGCGTAAAGATGTGAGATATTTAGATCATTATTGATGAACAATTTACAATTAAATTATAATTGTAAATTGTTTATATCCACTTCAAAATCATATGTTTTTCAAATTATAAGCAAAGATTAATGTAGTAGAATAACTAGTTACAAATATCCGTGTGTTGTTTTTCAATTGAGTAAATCAAAACAACGACAGGTAACGAACTTTCTTTTAAATTTTATGTAATTCCTTGTCATCCCTTTCTGTGCATTTTATTTATTTTCATCTAATAATTATATTTTATTGGTTTTGTTGTTAGTTGTTCGGTTTCATATTGAATTATTCTATTGGTAATTCTGTCTGAGACCGACGATAGCAGCTTTAACGTTTAACCTTTTGCTTACTCTGCTACTTAATCAATTATTTGGGTTTCTTTAATTATATATGTTAATATATTAAAATGAATACTCGCAATGCCAAGGCACGCCAAATGGAAAACCAACTCCAACTCGTGCTTCAAGAACTTAAGGCATCCAAGGAGCAGTGTGAGCAATTACTCAAGGAAAGGGAGGACAATGAAAAAGAAGTAATAGAAATAGCATCCTAATTTGGGAAAAATAGCCAATTAAAATATGAAATGTCTCAACTACATACAGAATATTTAAATTTGTTAAGGGAAAAAGACCAGTTACAGGGAACCGTCAATGAGTTTTGACCAATGCAGAAAGGAGTATGAGGAAGCTCTCACACTCAATTCTGCACTGAAATTGCAATTACACGAGGCCAGTATACAAATTTCACAGTTAAATTGTTACATAGACAACCAAAAGGCCTGCCAGACTCAGAGCCTGTTCAATGAGCTGGTCAATTTGCAGCCATCTTGTGACCCTCAAAATGCATGTACTGTAATAGACTTGACTAGCGATGATTGTACAACATCAAGATCAAAAACAAGAATCCCATGCAGCAGAAATAAATTGAACTTAAGAAAACGGCAGATCTATGGGGAATGTCCGTTGAAGTGACTGCCTCAATAATAGATTCAATCGCACCTTATTTGTCAATCATTTTTAACAGTAGTGTAGATTCTGGCGTATTTCCTGATCTCATGAAACACAGTAAAGTCATACCTGTATTTAAATCCGTTAGTACTTCGGACCCCACTAATTTTAGACCCATTTCTATACTACCAACACTTAGTAAAATTTTCTTAGTAGATCAGCTGTTAACACATTTTAACTTAAATAAATTATTACATCACAACCAGTTTGGTTTTACAAGGGGTCGTTCTACAACCGATGCTGGTGTAGAGCTGATCAAACATATATTTGAGGCTTGGGAGAGTTCACAGGATGCTCTGGGTGTCTTTTGTGATCTTTACAAGGCTTTCGATTGCGTGAATCATGAAACACTGATCAGGAAATTGCGCCATTATGGCATTAAAAGTACCGCGCTTGACCTCATTAAGTCATAGCTATCAAATAGAATTCAAAAAGTTGTAATAAATGGTGCTAGTTCTTCTGGGTCGACGGTATCTATGGGCGTTCCGCAGGGCTCGATTCTCGGCCCATTTCTCTTTCTCATTTACATTAATGATCTTCCTTACTTTGTAGGGAGTAAACACGATATAGTGTTATTTGCCGATGATACATCATTAATTTTTAAAATCGATCGACAGCTTGTTACACTTGACGAGGTAATAATGCTATGTCAGGAATAGTCTATTGGCTTAATACTAACAATTTACTATTAAATGGTAATAAAACTAAATGTATGAAATTTTCAACACCTAATGTTAACATTTGGGTGCTACCAATGTACTTATATATGGGGGGGAGAGTTAGGCCTTGTGGATACGACTGTCTTTCTTGGAATAACTCTCGATGCAAAGCTTCAATGGGGTCCCCATATATCCAAACTTGCGAATAGACTAAGTTCTGCAGCGTATGCTATAAGGAAAATAAGATGTCTAACTGATGTAAAAACGGCTAGAATTGTGTATTTTAGTTACTTCCATAGCATAATGTCATATGGTATTTTGCTATGGGGGCACGCGGCCGATATAGAAACAATTTTTATTTTGCAAAAAAGGGCCATAAGAACAATTTATAATCTAGATTTGAATGCATCTTTGAGAGAGAAGTTTAAAGAAATAAATATATTAACCTTAGCCTCTCAATATTTATATGAAAATGTTATGTATGTGCGTAGAAATATTAATAATTTTGATAAGAATACTGATATACATAATGTGAACACTAGGAACAAACACAAGCTTGTAATGCCAGTTACTAGACTCCATAGAGTAAGTAACTCGTTCATGGGGGGCGGTGTATACGCTTTTTTACAACAAAATCCCAGTAAATGCGCAAAACCTGCCTATTAACAGGTTTAAGAAATTTATTAAAGAAAAACTTTATAAAAAGGGTTATTATAATACAAATGAATACATTAATGACAATAACCCCTGGGAATGAGTTGATCGCTCCCAAGCTATTTCTAAAAGGAAAAAAAAAAAATCAGTTGTATAATATTTGAATTTTTTGTTAAAAAAAAAAATGAATTACAAAAAAGAGGATACCTACGGAGTTTCTTTCGCCTGTTTCTTCTCCGCTAGAGAAACCTCATTACGAAACGGTGGTAGATTTAAAAAAAAATATGACTATTGACAAATGAAATGTAAGTTTCTTATGTCGATGAATAAATGATTTTGATTTTGATTTTGATTTTGATGGTTATCCACAAACCAGTTATGTTCAAAGTTAAAAAAAAGGTTACTGGTTAAAATTACAATTTAAAAACAAACAATTTGCAAATGACGTCAATGGAGACTATTTTTGTCTTTAACTTGAACATCATTGGATACGATATTCTTGATACTGAACATATTTGCTATAACGAGAACATAAACGTATTGCAAAATGCTATTTAGAATATATTTGTAAACTTTAGGTTAGTGGTTAATTTTATCGATATAATAATGATTAATGAACGACGCGAACAATTTTCTGATGTTCTCGCTATCAATCCATCCCTACTAGATTTTAGTGAATTTACGATGATATAGCTTATGCATCAGAATAAAACATAGGCTTACTTTATCACACAAGTTCGTGAATAGATCTGTCTTAGTACGCCTTTACAATATTTTACGCAGACGTAGTCGCTGGCAGTAGACGTAGACTAGTAGGCTATATACATGCTTGATCGAATGCAGAGCGCGGGGGGGGGGGGGGGGGGGGACTGGTTCAACTAAGTAGAGACAGGTGCAACGTGGGTTAAAAAAAAAGATTTTTCCCACGAAAAAAAAAATAATGCATGTGTTATCTTAATAATGTCACTTTCGGGCTAATACATGTTGTATCTTAATAGGGTCTGTCACTTACAGGATATCTAGTTTAGGACCGTGACCAGAATAATAATGTTAATATCATCAAACATAACCGTGTGTATGAAGGGCCGCGGGGACATTTACCAGGTAATAAAACGTGGGAAGGTGGAGAATAGAATTGTCTTTGAAAATTTCTTAAGATAAATTTTTGTTTTATAACAATAATAAAAGTTGCTTTATAGAAATCTATACATATAGTAAAAATGTAACTGATCGTTGTCTGTACATTAAATATATTTGAAAAAAAAAATATTGGGGGCCTTTATCAACGCAACAGAACCCAAAACAATTATGTTAAAATTTTTGTCTGTTTGTCTGTGCGTTTGTGCGCGCTAATCTCAGAAACGGCTTAACCGATTTGGGTGCAACTTTTGCTAATGCATTGTAGTATATATCGTTTATATACTTTCACCTAACATTTAGTATTAGTTTTATTTAAATCGGTTCATAAATAAAAAAAGGTATATCGACTTAAAGAACCGTATAGAAGATTTGTGCGACAAAATGTTATATGAAACTATTGTCTAGCCGTGATAGCTCAGTGTCCGGGCGCTCGCCTTTAATTCAATATACTCGAGCAACCTGAGTTCGATCCCCGGTGCCGGCACCAATGAAGTTTTTAACTTTAAGTGCTGACTTATCACGTGCTCCGCGGTGA